TATGGTTGAATGGGTGGGTGGGTAGATGGATGGGTGAGTGGATGGATGGATGGATGGGTGAGTGGATGGGTGGGTGGGTAGATGAATGAGTGGATGGGTGATGGGTAGGTAAATGGTTGGATGGATGAAAACCCTCACATTTCAAGCTGCAGTGGCCCTATCTATGCAACTTCCCTGAGGTCACCGTATCTCAAGCATGCAAAATTCAAGGTCTAGCTGAGAAGGGAGAGGAGACATAGTTGTCAGCAATAGAAAAGGGTGCTGGGTAGCAGATGGGCAGAGGCAGGATTCCTGAGCAAGGCAGGGACTTGGCAAGCCGGGCCAGTGTTGCCTTCTCTTGCTGACCTTTCCTGTCTGGATGAGGCTCAGGTTTCAGCCTGTGGTGAGGGGAGCTGTCCTGTGGTACCAGGAGACTGAAAGTAGGAACTCGGGCAGACATGGCTGTGGCAGCAGGCTTGTCCATTTTCCCATTCTTGCCTATTCTGTAATATTCTTTGGACTTGGACAGATATAGCTCTAGCAGGAGACTGAAAGTTCCCTCTTAACCCTTTGTTACATGCTGTGATCACCCAACAGCAGGGTGAAGGGTCAGCCCTGAGGCCTGCAGCCATTGTTCCATGGGGATTAGGTGTCACAATCAGTCTGCTTCCCCACCTCATTCTCAGAATTTCTCTTTTTATTTCTGAAAGATCCCTGTAAAGGTGAAAGGTTAAATATTAGTCAAGGGCTGTGTTCTTGTGAAGTTGTGGAGATAAGATCAGGCAGGATAGAAGACACCCATAGCAAGTTATTTGTTCCTGTTCTTCAAATATCTGTGATTACTCCCAGGAATACTGTGAAGCTCAGAGTTTAAAGGAGTCTTTCTGTCTGCCTTGACAAGATCTGTCTTGTAAAGGAGATGGTTTTCTGCCTTGGGGCCATGGAGAGGTGGCCACATTCCCTTGTCTGCTTGGGGAAGGAGGATTTTCTGTTGTGCCTTTAATTTCCTACAAGCACTTTCTTATCACCTCCCCACCCTACTCTTCCCCTCCTCTTGGTAGAGGATAATTTTCTTCTCTGAGACCAGGATCCAGTTCCTTATTCTGTAATCCTTACCTATCTCCAAGCCACGTGGATTTTGTTTTCTAATCTTCCTGCCCTTCATAAATCAATCTCCTTTATCCTTTAGTCTAATGCTTGTGTCTGTTTGAATTCCTGGGTATGAGGGGCCCAGTTTTGAACCTAGCTTGCCTCAAGGTGCAGAGGAGAAGTTGAGATCACAGACCCAGTAGTTTAGAGTGATTTTGGTTGGATTGTCACCAGGCACATGATCCTGAAATCCTTATTGAATTGAGTAAGATAAACCAACTGTGTGTTTATCAGGATGTCTCAGTTCATCTGGAACATTCCAGTATTTACAAAATGATCTCCCTGTTCAGGCACTTAAATCCTTCCTGACAACATGTTTTGATTCTTCTTATATGACACCATCTTGGGTAACAGCTCCTTCATGAGGAGTCAAGAGTTTCTATCTTGAAGTCAAGTTTCATATTGCTCTCTTGGCTCTGTGAAGCCACCTGGGGGTCAGGGAGATTGGTGTGCGTTGTGGAATGTGTAGACTGAGATGAAATTGGAGTGCTAATGAATTGTGGCATTTTCTTTACTCATGTGTTAAATATTTTTTGAGCACCTACTATATGCAGGCACCAGTGATATGCCCTGGGATTAAAAACATAAAAGAGACACAGACCTTGTCCTCCTAGTCTGCTGGGGGGGGGAGGGGGGAAGGGGGCGGGGGGTCAGGTAAGAAACATAATCATAATGCAAAAAAATAAGTGACACAATTAAATATAAACAAAATGGTCTGGGAGTAGAGAGGAGGGAGACCCTTTGTTCTTTGTTTAGAAAACATGGCTGGTATAGCTTACCTTGCAGGCACATCGTCAGGAATAAGTAAAATGATAAAAGCTCACACAACAGATGACATTTGAACTAGATCTTGAAAGATGAAAAGGAGTTTGCCATGTGGAGGTGGTGTAGGGAGGAATGTTACAGATGAATAAGAATGTTAGGACCTTCCTACCTGCCAAAATGTTCTCAGAATCAAGTAAGGTTGGAAAAGGTATTCATATAACTTTATCTGCGCTTCAGGTGAAGTCAGAGCCCAGGTTTGGCTTGAGGAGACAGAAGTAGTGTCATGTTTTACATGTATGACTTGTACCCTGTGAGGACTAGGGAACATTCTGGTTACTGTTTCAGGAAAGGAGGAAGCAGGAGGATTTATATTTTTCCTGTTATTCTCAAGTCCTTCATACCTTCAGGAAATTGAGAGCCCCATTTCTGCAGCACAAGGCTTCCAGGGGGTGCTTAGGAAATGTGGCAGTAAAACTGAGAGACCTCTTCTCCTAACACTCAGTCTCTGAGCTATCATCCAGCCCTCTGAGGTTCTATTTTGTTGGGATCTCTGTGGAGATCCTATGACAATTAGGTAAATGAATAATTTCTTTTATAAGGATCAGCACAAAGCTGGTTCCTATGAGAAGGAGGTTAAGGATGTCCCAAATGTCTAGTTGTTCCAAACTGCTGTACTACTCCATCATCTTTAACATCAACTACACCCTCTTCCCTCAGTACTCTCCCTCCCATCTTTTGGTTCTGTAATTTGCTGCAACGTCTCACAGAACCCACAAACCATTCTTACAGTTAAGTGGTTTATTAGGGAAGTAACAAGGCACAACTTGGAATCAGGAATGACTCAGAAGTAACAGGAACAACTCAGGATACAGTTCTTCGATCAGGACAGCTTCTTCTCAGCCGTGCCCGCAGACAGGCCTCTCTCAGCCTCTTGGCCTCACCTCTGCCCTGCTCAGGCAAGTGTTATAAAGTTCTTTAGCTCTGCCAATAAGTGCCCAGAGGCACCCCACTCTGCCAGTAAGCCTCAGCCTAAAGGTGCTCAGCTCTCTCGCTCCATGGGATGGCATACCCACTGTAACTGCCTTGTTCCATGGTCTGGAAAGCCCACTGTGCCATCTCCTACCAGTCTCCTGGTTCTGCTGCTGCCATTTCTCTGCTGGTATCTCTCACTGTCTCTGGTGTTACAGCTCTCTCTCTCTCTCCCTCTCTCCCTCTCTCCCTCTCTCCCTCTCTCCC